ATACAAAGATGCTGATGATAAGAAACCTACTGATGAGTAACTAAAGTAAATCTAAATCCGTTGCAATCATTGTCGCGACACTTGTACCGATCGAAATTGCAAGAGCCACAACACGACCACGACCGTTTTTTAAAACCCTGGTGATGAATGCAGATCCAACACTTCAAGTGCAGAGGTTTGTCTATCCAAAGCTCGACTTTAAGTGATCCAATTGATTTAAGTCGTCGGAGGCATGACAGACTGCTTGAAATACTGATATTTTGAAGTAAGTTTCTTGGATATGTAATTATGGTTATTCTCGTCAATACATTAGAAGCATTTGAGCTTGAATGACTTTTTTCTGTGAATGAAAGTATAAGACATTTTCTTGCTTCTAATTTATACTGTCTGAACTGAAACAGTATTATTTTTGCATGATTAATATCTTCAATGCACCAGTTTAGAATCCCGAGATAAATGAGAAAAAAAGTGTCAAGCTACCAAACTATAAAACGTAGTATATGTTAAAGAACATCTATCCAGATTATGTTACTTAAACAAGTTGCATAAATTTAGAAGCAAGAACAACATGGATTCTTCAACTTGTTCCATTTATTTATGCTTCATGTTGCCACATACTAACAAAGCAGTGGAACACAAGATTTCAAACTACACTTTTTATGAGCAATATACAAAAATGCAATATAATGATGATAAAATACAGATTAGCTACATGAATCAACGACTAAAACAAGTTTACACGAAGAACTGCAACAATAGCATGCACCCCTTTTGTCTTCAAATCAATTCATCAACTGCCACTCCTGAAAAGAAGACAAAAAATTACTTTCCTTTTCAATATTATTAGTGACAATTCAATTAATAGAATTGAAATTGCATAACAGTTTGGTAGTTTGTTCACAAACAAGCACATTTTATAGCAAAACATAATGTGTTAGTTCTTCCAGTTGAATAATCATATCTCAAAAAATAAAACTCTTTCCATCAAACAAAGTAACCACCACACTTGAATTTCCCATTCATATAGTATCCCAAGTATAGCAGTAAAAGATTTGGTTTAACCATGAGATGGTTGATATATATGAAATTCTTTAAAGATGTGTTTGAATTGTGAACCTAAATAAACAATTATGAAAGAGAACATTATACCTGAAACAACAGGAATGCAACTTGCCTCATATTGTGACTTGGTCATTTATTTTTATGAAAGGAATGTGAGCAATTTTGGACCAATTTTCCTTCCTTTTATACCTTTCTTCTAACAATGGGCAACCTGTGATGGTCAGTTTCTTAAGAGAGGCAGGTAAGCTGTCTTCCGGTAATGACTCTAAGTGTTCACAATACCCAAGTTTAAGTGAATTCAGCGAGGAAGGAAGGCATTTTTCTGGCAATGACTTGAGATGTTGACAGTCACTAAATCCAAGTGATTTCAGCGAGGAAGGGAGACAATTTTCTGGCAATGACTTGAGATGGTTGAATCGGAGATGTTGGAGAGACGAGAGGTGTCGAAGCCCAAAGGACATATTACTGACAGTGAGAGACACAAGGGAGATGGGGAGCAACGATTCCATCGTCAAGGTGTTTTCCATTTCACCCTTTTCTTGAATTGTCAATCTTGAAAGAGCGGTTAGGTCTTGGAGACCCCATTCCTTTACATGCAGATTTGTTCCTTTAAAAGAAATCTCAATTGATTGTAATTTGGAGGGTAGACAAACTCCTTCACAAAATGACAACTTTCCAGAACACCGAAAATACAAATGTTCAAGATTGGTGAGCGTGTCCAACCGAAGATTGACTTTAAGTGTTTCAATTGATCTGATGGCAAGTGATTGGAGGGCTGACGGCCGACGTGAAGGACTTTCGGAAATATAAATGGAATTCATACTCCTGCAATCTTTAATGGAAAGTGTTTGGAGCGCGGGGAAACCATCAAGTGGAAATGATGTAAGTGAGTCACAGCTATGCCAGATAGCAAGACTCACGAGTGACGTGTAATTTTGAAATGTTTCGAAAGGCATGAAGGATAACTTCTCACACATGTGAATACGAAGCGACTGCAATGAAGTGGGTAGACCATTTGTGGGAAATGCAGTGAGAGATTCAATATTTCTGAGTTCCAAATGAGTAAGACAAATACTACTCATGAACGTTTTAGGTATAAACATTGGGTAACTTTCTGCAGCTGCATGTTGAGCATCAGTATCTTCTCTAATTATTACTCTTTTGATTGTCGATAGCCAATTCAAAGTACGGGGTGTTTCCAGTATCTTATAACAACCTCCTGTTTCAATTTCTTCCATGCATGAAAGGTGGCTAGGCAAATCTCCCCTTAGTTCAGGACAATTATGTAACACCATAGTTCTAAGTTTTGGAAATGCAAAATTTATGCTTTCAAAGGAAATCCAATCCTTCCAATTTGGCATGTTGTAAAATTTCATATGCTCAAGGGAAGGAAATGGTTGGAAGGTAGAATTGGAACATTCTCCTTCCTCAACACAATAGAACTCTGGGCCAATTGTCTCCAATAACGACAAATTCGATATACTCAGCTTCTTGAGAGAAGGTAGTTGACCTAGCGGTGGAAGTGTCATGCAATATTTACAATTACAAATTTCAAGGGACACCATGTTAGAAAACGAAGAATTTCCCAACCAATTCGGAAAACTTGTCCCACCGTACAAGTTAATTTTTAGCCTCTTCAAGCTTATTGGTGGTTGCAACATTTCAAGCACAACTTTCACTTGTAGTGAATCTTCACTTTGTTTTCCCCATGTCAACTCTAACTTCTCAATTTTCTCTTTGTTTTTCAGGTTGGCTTCTTCTGCCTCTTTTGCATCAACATCATTGTGTAGGTTTTTTATGGTAAACTTTCCTTGTAGGTTTGGGAATTTCTCTAGCTCTTTGATACTTAACCCTTCATGTCGCTTTCCCACTAAAAAAACAGTCAAAGTTTGGAGGTTTTCTAGTCCACCAATTTCCATAGGCAACTCTTTTAAGTAAGTCCCACTTATATCAAGGTGACGTAAACTGATTAAATTTCCCATATGCACTGGCAATTCAGTGAGATTGTAGCAACATAATAAATTCAAAGTTTGCAAATTGTAAAGGTTACATACTGTATCAGGCAAACATTTGATTTTAGTGTATGAAAGATCTAGATACCGCAACTGCACTAAATTGCCAATTGAATCTGGTAACTTAGTGATGTTTGTATACTTTGATAGCGATAACACGCGTAACCTTTTGAATAGTGGTAGCAGATCATCAACCACCTTGATGGATAAGTACTTGTGTGACCACCCCCTAGAAGTAATGGGCAGGAAGCTTCGCAAGCATTTATAATTGTAGAAAGGCCTAAACTTCACGAAAATATCATACTCTTCTTGAATATATGATAAATGACGAACGTTTTGAGGGATGTCACCAAATTCAGACCTACAACAAATTTTTCCAGATACTGATGTAGCTAAATCGTTGATAAGGTCATGCATGTAAAACAATTTGCCACGAGCACCATCATTTGATTGTTGAATTAAGGATCTAGACAACAATTCAGCAAAGCAATCATCACCTACTTCCTCTACCAATTTTCCCCCGTGAGAACAATCTAGGAAGCCCTCTGCCATCCACAACAAAATCAATGTTTTCCTATCAAGTGGATAATCCTTTGGAAAAATTGAACAATATGCAAAACATCTTTTCAAATGAGTCGGAAGATATTGGTAACTTAAATGCAAAGCCGGCATAATGTTATCATTCGGTAAGTTCCATACATCGCTATTCAAAATTGCAGTCCATTCGGTTGTGTCTACTCTTGAACGTAGAAGTCCTCCCAGTGTTTTAGCAGCTATTGGCAATCCACCACACTTTCTTGCAATCTTCCTACCAATCTCTTCAAGGGCTATGTTTTTACTGTCGTGATATTCATCATTTTCCAATGCATGTTTTGAGAGTATAGACCAACAATCTTCATGTGACAGAGGGTATAATTTATAAATTGGAAATGTCTTTGCCATCTCTGCAACTTTTTCTTGGCGTGTTGTTATAATCACTGAACTTCCAGGTTTTCCATCAATGAGGGGACTCACTAGCTCATCCCAATCATTGTAGTTGTCATTCCACAGGTCATCCAACACAAATAAAAATCTTTTCTCCCTTGAATTTTTCTTTAATTCAACTCGCAGAATATCAAGATTATCGCTTTCCCAAACCTTTGAAGTAGCAGATGGTGTATTTCTAACAACTGATTCAAGGAGAGACTTGGTTACTCTCACAACATCGAAGTCCTCTGATACACAAACCCAGACTTTGAAATCAAAATATTCTTCAACTTTTTCATCATTGTAAACAAGTTGTGCAAGGGTCGTTTTTCCGACACCTCCCATGCCCAAAATTGCAACAACGCCTAAATTATTATTTTTGCTAGTGCCGCAGTCTGATACAAGCATATTGATGATTATATTTTTATCATCACTCCTACCAACCATGACAGATTCATTAACCCCTGAACTTGAAGGCGGTCTTCGAGAAACTCTAGCACTTTTTGTTTGCAATCCAAGGGTATCTTTGTGTTGTGCAAAAGGTTCAAGGGTTTCACACATGATCTTCAATTGGGAATTGATATCTCTATTGAAGTTTTTAAAAGGAGAGGAAAGAAAGTTCCAAACCTGATTAGTTTTGCTTCCAGCTTGTGTATTCTCCATCTTGCATCGAAGGGAATCATAACTTATTTGATTGACCAAATCCTCAGCATCTAAGACAACATCTTTCAAGTCATCTAGCCATTTTTTGACAGCAAGATTGTTGATCTGCCTTTCTTCTGCATCATCCAGCACAGCCTGAAGAGTGAGCAAGGTTGTTTGTAACTTTCTCAAGAGGAAGACATCCAGCTTGGTGTTTCGGATGTAATCAAGAAACTCTGTTGAGGCAAGTTTCTCAACTAAGGATTGAACAGTTGCAGAGAGAAAAGCACCTCCTATCATAGTTGCAGCTGCAGCCATGTTGTTTTGATTTTGTTAAAGCAAATCAGCTAGTAAGGAAGTTGTATCTGATAGGTGAATTTTGAAAGAGATTAAGAGCTATGGAAATTTCGGTATAGCAGTAATTGCAAGTAAGGAGCGAAGACTCGATATCATATGAATGATTGGTTTGGCTGTAAAGGTAGACAAAAGAAGACTCGCATGTGAATGAAAAGCATCAGTAATTATATATGCAAAGAAAAGTTGTTATCTTTAAAAAAGCAATTGGCATCTTTGAATAAAGATGATAGTCATTTTAGTAAATTGCATTATTAGTTATTGGTGTGTTTTCTACTGTTATAAATACAAAGTTCAAGTAACAGTTATTGGTGAATAAAGAGTAATGTGTATAATATTAGTTTGCTGGTATAATTGAAAAAACAACAGTGAATGCTTGTGTACTATTTCTACCAAATATTGGTGGTGAAACATAATATCCTAATAGAATCTAAGATTTTTCGAGATACATTAGTTTGAGCTTCTAGCTTGAGGTTGTGAATTTTGATTTGTGTTTTGATAAGGACTTTATCTATTTTGGTTGTTGGCATGTTGTCTCCATCCTTGTTGATAACCTTAGTTATTTCTTTGATGATAACCTTTATTATTTTGATATGCTTGCCTTTGTTGGTATCTTTGATCTTGATTTCCCATGTAATTAGCTTCTTCTTCAACCGGAGGACAAAATCCGGTTTGATGATCACCCTTGCATAACTCATGAAATTCTGGCAGCAGATACTCAATGTCACAGTGAATGTTATGACACCGTATCTGACTTTCTATAAGACAGTAAATCAAAAAGCAGTAAAGAACACAGTCAATTGTTTACCCAGTTCAATGTGAAACAACACCTACTCTGGGGGCTACCAAGCCAGGGAGGAAATTCACTATAAGAGATATTAATTCAGGAATAAACCAACCAGTTTATCTCCTTCACTTAAGACCTACCCAATGCAACTTCAATCTAAGTTCAACTTAAACCTGAGTTCCTACTCACTCCCCCTCAATCACAGCAGTGATACTAAACAATTGTCTAATGAAATTATGAAGACACTCTTCAGAACATACACTTGACTATGCTTCACAGCTTTTAATCAAGTAACACAAACACTCGTGCTTCAAAGCTTTGAGTGATACATAAACCTAACTTGACCTTGCTTCAAAGCTTTAATCAAGTGACACAAACACTCGTGCTTCAAAGCTTTGAGTGATACACAACCCTTACAATCAAAACCTACTCCAAGTCACTTATCACAATGATACTTGCTTGGATTACAGTAGTTAAAACTATACAGCCCCTTGTTTATCTTCTGTCAAAAGGTTGAGTTCACCAACAGCCTTCCTGTTGAATATATATGCAGTTGTTCTTCAGTTAGGTCTTCCACGAAAATAGCTAGGGTTAATTAGGGTTAACCTCAAGACTTGGTCACAAGACTTTATCAACCAGATTAGGATTAAGCCAAGTTAACCTAAAGTCCACGTGAGATTCTGTTCTGGAATGTATGAACCATATTCCTGAAAAATCTCAGAATTAACAAAAACTGCCTAACTGTTAGATCAGTACAAGATGTCTTAACATTGGTTATGACAACAAGAATCCTGTTTACTGATTTTTGGTAGAATGCAATAAATGTGATCATTGCAAAATGCTCAGATACACACTCATAATGAGCTGCTACTGTATGCCATTCTTTTTCTGCATAAAGTACCTAATAACCCAGAATGTTATGACATCAGTCATGACATTTACACACCTGGTTTTACCAAAAATACATGCCAATAACTAAACACTTACAAACTTCCCCTTTGGAATTTTTTTGGCTAAAACCCCTAAACAATCAGAGAATAGAGAGCAGCAGAAATAATATGTCTGCAGAAAAATTAATGTCTACCAAGTATAATTAACACATAATTTTCTCCCTCTCTTTAGCCATAAATAGGCCAAAGATACATGTACTTTTAGGTTATACAGTCATCCAAAATGAATAATAAAAACAACAAAAAGTCTGAAATCACTTGCAGCAACAGGTACCAGCAGCAAACTTGACACTCCACTGATCTTCAAGCACTGTCATCTTCAGAGGAGGCACTATCTTAAGCATTAAGCTGATCTTCAGCAGCATCCTCTTCCCTTCTTTGTCCTTCAGTCTTCTCCTGTTCTAGTCTAGCAATTAGGTTCTCAAGAGTCCTTTTCCTTGTCTCCAGCTCTTTGCAGGTTTCCTTCAGCACAACTATAACATCAGATTTCTTGGACTGAGTTTTGACAGTTAATGTCTCAGCTGATGTCATGACAATGTCAGGAACATGAGTTCCCTGAAATAGCTTATAGTGCAACCCAAGAGCAGGGGCTCTTTTGCATACAGTATCTCTTTCCACTAGAATTTCAGGATACTGAGCAAGGACAATACCACATAGGAGGGAGGGAAAGGCAATAGGGCCTTTAACAGCATAGCTTCCAGCATGTTTTAAAGTTTGATCAAAGATATACCTGCCATAGTCAAATTCTGTCCTGGTTCCAACAGCATAAATGAATCTTCCCAATCTTGTGGAGATGGTTGATTTATGGTTGGTGGGAACCCAGTTGGCTGCACCAATCTTGTGCAGGATGGCAAATTTCATGCTTAGCTTGCTTTCATTCAGCTTGCCTTTTAAGGGCCAGCTCTTGACTTGATTTGTAGTGATGGTTTGGCATACTTGGTTGTCAGTAACCTCTAGTTCAGGGCAAGCCTCATCTGGTCTTCCTAGGAATTTGTTTATTTCAGAGGGAGAGAAATTTACTTTTCTTCTCTCACATAGACACACTTAAAGTCAGCTGACCTTCCATCAGCACATCCATCAGATAAATTCACTATGAATTCTTTGACAAGATTTTCATAGCAGTTGGTAAACTTTACCACAGTATTCATTAGACCAACAGTTTGGATTAGGTCCATGATCTCCTTACATTCCATGGCACCATTGTTCAGTTCTCTTTCCAAGGTTATTCTTTTCAAGCAAACATACTTCCATCTGTTAGCATTTTCAGGGTGGTGAAAAGAAATGTTGTCAGTGGGGACTTCAGGAACTTTAGCCATTTTGCTTGATGGGAGTTTCCTTCTGAGAGAAATGTCTTCAGCATCAACTTCAAATTCTGATTCCTCATCAGACTCAGTAGGTTCAGGCTCTTTCCTTTTCTTTGCTATTGGTTATCTCACAGGCTTTGAGAGACTACCAGCAGGTACTCGGGTTTTCACCTTCCCTTTGGACAATCCAGTTTTCACAGTTTCTACACCAGTCTTGCCTTCAGACCTGGTTTTCTTATGAGCAACATCAGCAGTCTTCTCTTTGGTCAGACATTTTGCAGCATCCTGCTTACCTTTTCTGTTCATCATCCTTCTAGCTATGCTAGGGTTGATATTTGCAATTAGGTCATTGTCAGAGTATTCTTCATCCACATCAATAACTGGGGGTTCAACATCCTTCTCTGAAGGGTTCTGAAGATCATCAAGATTTTCAGATGATTTCCGAATGTTGTCATCCGGTGTCTCAACATTCTTAGAGACATCTAGATTCATTTCAACATTTGGACTAGCAGATTCTTGATTTAAAGGAACAGAAATGCCAGGTACCGAGTGGTTCTCATTCATAATTCTTGTAACAAGTCTAGCTATTGCTTGATGAACATAAGCTGAGCCTTCCCTATTTGCTATTTCTGAGGGAACAAAAGATGATGGTTGAGAGGGATTACCAGATGAAGTAGCTTGAGACCTTCCTGCATGCCTTGTTCTCAGCTTTTTAACCTTAGAGGGGTTAGCTGCCAGTTATCTAAGAGGAGTAATCTCCAGGACTTCAGAATCCATGCATGTTGTGATTGCCCTAGGTTCTCGATCAGAGGATGCGGATGAAACAGTCGTCTTGGAAGAGGATGATGTCATGGATAGTTGAGACATTTTGAGAGTCTTAGAAAACCAGTAACAACGAGAGAGAAATCTTTGATTGAGAGAATGAGGATTGTTGCAGAGCCGAGAGAGGAAGGAGGTAAATGAGTGTCTATTCAACTTCTTAACAATTTTGAAAGAAATAGGAAAACATATGATTAACCCAATCAAAATAGACTTAACACAAAAATCTCCTTCATCCCTTGTTTTAAGCAAAATTAATTGCTACATTTCCTCATGTTGGCAAATACCCAACTTGCCCCTCAAATTTTCAAATTGATTTGCATCAAGTGCTTTGGTAAAAATGTCAGCCAGCTGTAGTTCAGTGGCAACATGTTCCTGTTTAATTGTCTTCTCTTCTACAAGATCTCTGATAAAATGATGTCTAATGTCAATATGCTTGGTCCTGCTATGCTGAATAGGATTCTTGGAAATGTTGATTGTATTCAGATTGTCACAGTATAATGTCATAACATCTTGTGTGATATTATACTCAGTAAGCATCTGTTTCATCCAAATCATTTGAGAACAGCTACTACCAGCTGCTATGTATTCAGCTTCAACAATAGAGAGAGACACACAATTCTGTTTCTTGCTGAACCAGGAGACCAGATTATTTCCTAAGAAGAAACATCCTCCAGAGGTGCTCTTTCTATCATCAGCACTTCCAGCCCAATCAGCATCACAGTAACCAGTCAGAGTTGGTTCACAACTATGAGAGTACAGCAAGCCATAGTTGTAAGTTCCACTTACATACTTCAAAATTCTCTTCACTTGGTTGATATGACTGACTTTGGGATCAGCTTGGTATCTTGCACATACTCCAACTGCAAAAGCAATGTCAGGTCTGCTGGCTGTTAAGTATAGCAGACTTCCTATCATGCTTCTGTACAGGCTTTGGTCCACCTTAACCCCACTTGAATCTTTGGATATCTTTAAATGAGTAGGTGCAGGAGTCCTTTTGTGACTGGCATTCTCCATACCAAACTTCTTGACAATGTTCTTTGCATACTTGCTTTGAGACAGAAAAATTGAGTCTTCCATCTGTGTGACTTGCAGTCCAAGAAA